TACACTGATATTTCACCTCCACTTTCTGTTGATTTTCAGTATTTCCTTTTACGAACAGGAATCTCTCCCATCTTGCAGCAGCCTAGACCTGCCGATTTATGCCGAATAGCCAGTTTCATACCCACGAACAGACCTGAAACAAGTTTCCCTACATGCTCTTACTATTGTCTCTGACAGCAAGCGCTTCTCTTAATTTTTCCAATCTTTTCTGTTCTGCTTTGGTGCTTGCTGATGGCTCTCTGCTGACTTCACCGCGCTGCCCTTTGACTCAACCTGTGCGGAGCACTCGGATGACTTGAATGGTGTGAAGTCTTCTTCTGGATATGAATCAACCAACCTTGCGTATTTCTTTACTTTCTTTTATAAACAAACCTATGTATAAACTGAATCTTGCAGATTTCTGTTGAGGCTCCTCTATCTTCGTTCAATTAAGAAAATTGGAATTTTTTTAGATTTCAGTGATTTTCATTGTGAATAATAAAATACATTTTTATATCTTGCATAATGGTTTAAGATTTTTAAGTTTTTTTTTTTGGTAAGAAATTTTTTGTTATGAGCATGTATAGAATTACTAATATAGCCGAAGTCAGTAAATGAGTTTTACCCATTGGTTGCTAATTTGAGACTTTCATCTAACATCAAGTAGATTCATGTTTGCAATTTAGAATGCAATTTGCTTACCTTGAGGAGAATTACAGTAAAGAAAACTCTATAATTCAGCAGACAGAAATCAAGTTGTTTCTGTCCCTGTGGTAATGGAATATATCTGTTGTTATTTACATGTATCTTGAAACATTTTCTCCACAGAGCACAATGACTTAAGGAAGAAGGGTTTTTTTGTTATAATTGGTTTTGTTGGTGGTTTTTTACAGAATGAAATTTGGTGTGTTTCAAAAATTACAAGCAAAATCCAGAGCTTGCTTTGGTTAAAGTGAAGAAGGTGAACGCAAAATTACTGTCAAGCAGTTTAGAAGATAATATGGAAACTAGATTATGGTGTGTTATTTCAATTAATTATTAATGTGAATATATTTACATACATGGGCAACTTATCCTCCTAGCATTTTGAAGAGTATTAAGCAAAGAATATTAAAATCGTCTGGTCGCAATATTGACACTTATCTTGAAATCTTTATCAAATATATTGACTATTGTGATCACTTATTTAAATTACAGTGCATAAGTCTATTTGGTTTGGTGTGGTTTCATGATGTTTAATAACAATCAAAGTGAAGGAGCTAAAGAAAGCAATGGTACACTGAACATAGGCAATCATACTTTATATTTTTGCAAGAATTATTTTTATTAGCATTAAGATGCAACTGTGCCAGGTAGAATAAAGCAAGTCATAAAATGTTAACAAATTACAGATGCAAGTATGATAACGTACAACAAAATAAAAAATCATCAAAGTTGAAATTCCTTGAACAAAAGCCAATGTTCATCACAAGTTGGCATACCTCTTGGAAAAGGTTTTTCAAACTGTAATTTTGTATAACTCAAATAAAATCAATTTAAGCTGCAGCAAATGAGAAAGAAAACAATATGAGTTGAAAGATATGTAAGAAATTATTATAAGATGAATTGATTGCCAACGAATGAATGTAATCATAAGCTTCTCATAGCTTCTAAATTTGACTCTATCCCATAATGCCCTGTTAAGTTCTAAATATCAGTTCAAAGTGCTTCGATTAATTTATTTAAGGCTTTATATCATCATTGTCCTCTTAATCGTGGAATCATTCTTTCCAACATTTAACTACGAGTTTTCATAAATAAATATGAATCGAATTTGTGCTAGATTATGACGACATGATGTTAAAGAAGTCTAACTTTTGGCTTAACAAAGGAAAGCCAATTTTAATGTAATATTTAAAAATGTTTGGAAGAGAGAATTGCTATAAAATAAAAGATATAATTAACGATATTATTAATAATAAGAGATGAATTTGAATATACGCTGCTTTTCTATTTCAATTTCGTCGGCACTGCTCTGGCCGCTCATGCCGCTGCAACGCACCATGGGGCGGCAAAGCTTGACATTAAATAAGCAGAGAATCTCGCGATCGCGCACAACATATATGTACGAGACTGAATGGCCTTAAGAAAAGGCCAATGGACTTTTTCGCTCCTTCTGCGGTGTACGGACATTCTTTTGTTTCATGTTTCACCGGATTTAAACTCCCGGAATTCTGGCCGGAGTACCAAAGGAATTTTCAAGGATTAGAGAACGTTACCCTCAGTCAAATCCCTAGCAATCTGATGCCTTCATCCTTCCATTTCTCATTCCGCCATCAATACAGGAAGAGTAAGGTAGCCATCCAAATCAAATAAAAGAGGTGAGGGAGAAGGTTAGACTTCCTCGCACGTCAACCCTCAAGATAGAAGAGTGAGTGGCTTCAGGCAGGTTTCATGGTTTCCATGCCTTCACAGCAGCAGCAGGATTCCCATCCTCATCAACAAAAACCTCCTCCATTTTCCCAATCTCTTCCTCCTCAAAATGCTGCTGATTTCATTACTTCTTCGCAACAGGATTTTCACCTTCAAAAACAGCCTTATCCATTTTTCATGACTCTTCCTCAAGAACTTCCATTTCCATTTTCGCAAGATCATTTTCCTCACTCTGTTGATTTCAGTTTGCCTTTTCAGCAGGATTTTATCCCTCAAGAACTACTGTTTCCATTTGCCCAATCTCTTCCTCCTCATGAACAACCTTCTACATTGTCACAATCTTTTTCACCTCATCTTGTTGCTTGTTTGAATGCGGAGGATCTGCCAACTTCCCAGCTGCCTTCTGACTCACCAGTGTGGAACCAATCAGAGGACTTGAATTGGTGTGATAGTCTTTTTCTGGATTACTAATTCAGCTAGCTATGTTGATTTCATCATATTTCCTTATTGTATACAAATCTATTGTACAAATTGAATGTCTTAGATTTTATAGGACAAAATGATAGTTTAGTGCAAATGCTGCTTTTATTAGATTGTTAAAAGATTGATTCAATGCAATCAATGCGATTGTTTCCACCTATCGTAAATAATTTGATTTCATGTATTGAGAGTTCCAACATTCTGTTTTAAGCATCGCATATGAATATCCTGTACATGCAACAATTTTTTGGAAAGTGATAAACCTTTGAATATCACCGCATAGCTTGTTGGTGCTATTTCTAAATAAAACTATGCATGCTAGTTCTTAGTGTTAAGCACATGCGTTAAGCATTGTGGCTAATGAGTGTTTTCTCTGCTCT